GATTTAATTTTCAGCCTGTTTCCTCTTTTGTCTGCTTGTCCTACTCCACAATCCCCGTTCAGGCCCTTTTTCTAGTTGGAAACAGTTCAGGGCCAGCTGTGGCCATTTGGTTTTAATTGGAAACTGTCTCTTTAAATGTCGATGAGATCTGTGCGCCTGCGTAGTAGAACCCTCTGAGGGTGGAGCTGGGGTGCCCACTAGCTCAGGAATCCCTATAGTCACCAGAATGGAGGTGGTCAGACAGCAAGGGACCAATGAACAGCTGCCAAAAGAAAATAATGTCCACACCTTTATGTCTGCGGTTCTGCCAGGCGTCTGTGGCCGTTCCATTCCTTCTCCCGCTTGGTCTCACACAAGTTGGCGGCTCCTGGAACAGCTGAGCATCTCAGACTAGAAAGCAATAGATTTCTTGCTTCAGCCATAAATTCCCCCAGATGGGAGCCTTCCAACCCTCTAAGTATTCCTGTATATGTGTTTCAGAGTTCTGGGACCATCCCTTGAGCCTGTTTGGAAGGGTATTCTGTGTTGTTGTTAGTGGAGCTCTTTACTGCATGTCCACCCGTTCCTCCATCTTGTTTTTTCTCCTACCTACCTATTATAATTTTGAAGGGATTTTACTTTACCATTCAATTTTCTAATTTGTCTAAATTGTCTTGAATAAATTTGTTGGGTGTAAATGGCTTGCTAGTATGTTTTTCTGAAGGCAATAATATATTGTATGTTTCTTTAAATATATAGCTCCTTGCATCTTATTTTTATTAAGCATATATTAAATACATTTTTGAAATGAAATATTCACATATGTTCATTTACTTTATTTTTAGCTTTTGAGATGCAATGTTTAGTGCCACTTTTGAAAGAAAATGTAGATGCCACTCCAAAACAAGAAAGTTATAAAGTTGGAGACGTGTTGCGATTTTCCTGCAGAGGATCTACAAGAGTTGGGGCAGATTCATCTCAGTGCTACCAATTTGGGTGGTCACCCAGTTTTCCAACATGTAAAGGTCAATGTCTATCTTAAAAATGATTAAACAAGAATTACAATTTTATATTACTGTCTATATAGTTTATTATGTGTGTGGTGGCTCCATATGATAAGCACCGGATTGCGAACCATAACGTGACTGTTTGGGCCCGCCAGCCACTCCAGGAGAGAAACATGAGACTCTCTGTTCCCACGAAGATTTAAAAACCTCCAAAACCCTATCTAGGGTCACTATGAGTCGAAAATGACTGAACCACAATTAACAACAACAACAATGTATTTTATTGTAGTTTATCTTACATGAATAATCTTACAAAGAGCAAAGTCTGGGAAGAAGCAGTGCTACAGGTTCGCAGTAATTGGATGACATAGAGTTCAAGGTTACTAATTGAGGGGTGACTCAATCATTTTGAAATATGCAATGAAATTTTATTAGTCCCAATATTAGGTAGGATTGAGAAGAGTTATTTTTCCCATAATACTAATACTAATTATATATATATCTCTATATCTATATCTATCTATCTATCTATCTATATATTGTTGTTGTTGTTGTTAAGTGCCGTCGATATATGTATACATATATATATATATATATAGAGAGAGAGAGAGAGAGAGAGTTGTTGTTAGGTGCGGTGGAGTCGATTCCGACCCATAGCGACCCTGTATAGGGTTTCCAAGGAGCAGTTGGTGAACTTGAACCGCTGACCTTGCAGTTCAAATGGCTTTGCAGTCTGGCACTTTAACCACAGTGCCACACCAGGACTCCATATATATATACATTTAAATATATGTTGTTATTTGGTGCTGCCGAGTAGGTTCCAACTCATCGTACCCCTTTATAGGGTTTCTGAGGAGGCTTTGTGTGTTATTGTTGTTAAGTGCTGTGAAGTCTATTCTGACATATAGAGATCCTGTATAGGGTTTCCAAGGAGCAGCTGATGAGCTTAAACCACCGACCTTGACATTCAAAACAATTTTGCAGTACAGCGCATTAACCCACAGCACTACACTGGGACTCCAAATATATTTATATATGCTTAAAAAATATACACGCCTTACTTATCATGTTTTATTAAATAGCCAAGAAAATAATTGTCATCACACATTATAATCATTCAATATAAAATAATAATGATTTATTACTTGTTTCATTTCCCTCAGAAAGCTTTTGTTTGAATAATTGTACCTATATATGTTGTTGTTATTAAGTGCCATCAAGTTGGTTCCGACTCATAGTGACCCTGTGTAGAGTTTCTAAGGAGTGGATAGTGGGTTTAAACTACCATTCTTGTGGACAGCAGTCCAGTACTTATTCTACAGGGCTTTGTATATGAATATCACACCACATATTTGACAAATATTATATTTATAAAATATAATAAACTATAAATATTGAACATACTTTAAAATCTTTAAGGCACAACTAATATATCCTGGTCATAATAAGTCACTTGTAAAATTTTTGAGTGGAGCAATTAAACTATTTGAAAATGAAAAGGATATTAGATTATACTAAAAATTACTGTTAATTTGGTGAAGTGTAATAAGGTATTTTGTATGTGTAGGTTTCTTATTTATTAGACAGGCATTCTGAAGAATTTAAAAGTAAAATCTCATTATGTCTGTCATTTACATTAAATTATTTCACATAAATAATAGAGCAAAGCAAATAGGGCAACACACCAATAATTCTTGTGTCTAAACGTTTAGTATATCGATTCATTATGCATTCTTTCTCTTTTACTTGTTCAAAATTATTCATAATAAATAGTATGTGAGAAAAATAAAGTACACATGTTTTTTACATGAAAGAATAGGGCTGTGGTACCTATCAAATTAGTTCTAGATAGAACAAAATAGTAACTCCACGTTTTGCTAGATTTATAATTGTAAGACCATTTAGCCACTGCTTATACAATTTCTCTACCACAGGACAAGTAAAACCTTGTGTTTCACCTCCCCTGCCCCCCAATGGTAAAGTGAAGGGTGTATGGAAAGAAGAATACCAGCACAGTGACATAGCAGAATATGACTGTAATCCTGGTTTTCTAATGAAGGGACCTGAAAAGATACAATGTATGGATGGAGAATGGACAACTTTGCCCACTTGTGTTGGTAACTAGATATTACTACTTACACAGAAAAGTTAGTTTTACTTTGCACTTGTGTAAAAATACATATGTAAATAGATTAAACTATTCTAAAATAATAATCATATGTTTAATTTATCTAGAACAAGTGAAAATGTGTGGCTATATACCTACACTGGAACATGGTTATGTCCAGGCCTCTGCCCCTCTCTATCAGCATGGAGCCTGGGTGGAGCTGAATTGCAAAGATACCTACACAATGATTGGAAATAAGACAATTACCTGCATCGATGGAACGTGGACCCAGCTTCCTAAGTGTATTGGTGAGAAGACTCTTCTCAGTTTAATATTTGATTGTTTTCAAATTTTACATTAAAAGAATATACTTACACCTTCACATGCTGGTGGCCTTTGGGCACTACATCTTGTTGTTAGTTACATGGAGTCTGCCCTAACACATGGTGACCTTATGCATATGTGAGCAAAAACCTTGTTAAAGTCCTGTGTCAACCCCATGATTGATTGGGGACTGTCCACAAAGTTTTCATCCACTGCTTATCTAGAATATATTACCAGGTCTTTATTTGTAGTCCATTTAAGTCTGGAAACTCATTAAAACCTGCCTACTAACAAAGCAACAAGAAAAACCTCCAATGACAAACTGATAGAGACTGTGTATAAGGTTCATTGGAGGGGTAGCTAGGAATATTTTCTCTCTTCTCTATATAATTACCACATTTAGCAGAAATATGTTCTCCTTTTTTGACACAATGATCCCCAAATATATACTTAGTTGATATAAGTTTTTGAACTTTCTTTGTAGAGACCGTAACATTTTCAACAGATCCTATTATCAGGATGAAGGACCCCTGGTAGTGTAGGATTATGAGCTGAACTGCTAAGCGCAGGTCATTAGTTTGAATCTAACAATTGTCCCATGAGAGAAAGATGAGACTTTTTGCTCCTGTAAAGATTTACAACCTCAGAAACCCTATAGAGGGTTGCTATGGGTTAGAACAGACTCAGCAGCATACCACCAATAACCACCATTATCAGGAGTCCTGGTGTAGCACTATAGGATAAGCACTGAATTGTACACCAGAAAGTTGGTAGTTCAAACTCACAAACTGCTCCTCAGAAACCCTATACAGGGTAGCAATGAGTCAGAATTGACTTGATGGCACTTAACAACAGCAACATTTTCAGGATAAAGAGCCCTGGAAATATAATGATTACGTATTGAGCTGCTAACAGCAAGGTCAGCAGTTCAAGTCCACAGACGCTCTATGAGATAAAGATGAAGCTTTCTGTTCCCAAAAAGGTCGCTATGAGTCAGAATTGACTCCATGGACACATCACCACCACCATTATCAGGATGGTTTCCTGGTGTGGCACTGCAGGAGAAGTTCTGGATTGCTAACTACAAGGCAGATAATTCAAACCCTCCAGTTGCTCCTCAGAAGCCCTTCCAGGTCACTAAGAGTCAGAACCTACTGGATGATACTTAACAAATCCAACATTATCAGGATAATCAATCTCTGGGTGTGTCACTAGCAATAACACTGAAAATGGCTGTGCTGACCACAGTGTGTACCTGAAGGTTTCTGCAGTATCATCATTCTTCCAGCCAGGAGAACGTGTCACATAAATATGTCATCCTTTTTCATTTGCAAGTACACCTGCTCAGGGGGAGCTCACTCACAAATCAGTATTTAGTAGTGAATTGATGGCATTGTAGCATGTGTTTCAACCAACGTCCTTCACTTTGTTATTGTTGTTGTCAAGTGTTGTCAAGTCGGTTCCGACTCATAGCCACCCTGTATAGGGGTTCTGAAGAATGGCAGCTGGATTTGAACAACCAACTTTGGGTTAGCAGTCCAGTGCTTATGCTCCTTCACTTTGGTGGTGGTGGTTATGTGCTATGGAGTTGGTTCTGACTCTTAGTGACCCTATATAGGATTTCCATGACTATAAATATTTATGGGAGCAGAAAGCCTCATCTTTCTCCCACTGAAACACTGGTAATTTCAAACTGCTCACCTTGAGATTAACGGTCCAATACCTTAATTTTAGTTTTGTGAATCTGAAGATATTATTTAACATGTCTCTGTTTCAGGTAGCCTGACCTCTGAGGATTTAACAATTTTATTGGCTGAGAGATGCAGGTAGTGAATTGTGAACTGAGTTTTCAAAGAAAACACCTAGAGGTGATGAAAAATGGCTGCAACCATACATTGACAGAGAATTTCCAGAGGTTCAAGCCGGATTCAGAACAGGACGTAGAATGAGAGATCTCATTGCTGATGTCAGAGAATACTAGAAAGATGTTTCCCTGTGCTTTATTGACTATGCAAAGGTTTTCGATTGTGTGCAGCATGCCAAGTTATGGACAACATTGGAAGTATGAGTGTTCAAGAACACTTAGTTGTGCTCATGAGGACCTTATACATAGACCAAGAAGCAGTTGTTCTAACAGAACAAGGGAACACTGAATGGTTGAAAATTAGGAGCAGTGTGTGTCAGGGTTGTAGTCTTTCACCAGACATATTCAAACTGTATGCTGAGCAAATAATTCCAGAAGCTAGATTATATAAAGAAAATGTGGCATTAGGATTGGAGGAAGATTTCTTAACCACATGCGCTATGCAGATGATACAACCTTACTTGCTGAAATCAAAGAGGATTAAAATACTTACTGATGACTATCAAAGACCACAACCTTCAGTATGGGTTGCATCTCAATGCACAGAAAGCAAAAATCCTCACCACTGAACCAATAAACAACATCCATATAAATGGAGAAACTATTGAAGCTGTCAAAGACTTCACTTTGCTGGGATCAACTATCAACACTCATGGAAGCAGTAGTCAATAAATCAAACAGTGTATTGTATTAGTCAAATCTGCTACATAAGACCTCCTTAAAGTATTGAAGAACAAAGATGTCAGTTTGAAGATTAAGGTGGCTTGACCCAATCCATGGTATTTTCAATAACCTCATATGCATGCGAAAGTTGGACAGCGAATAAGAAAGACTGTAGAAGAATTAATGCATTTGAGTGATGGTGTTGAAGGAGAATATTAAAAGTGTCATGGACTGCCAAAAGAACAAACAGATCTGTGTTGGAAGAAGTACAACCACAGTGATCCTTCAAAGCCAGGATGGCCAAACTTTGTCTTTCATGCTTCAGACATATTGTCAGGAGGGACCAGTCACTGTAGAAGGATATCATGTTTGTTAATATGGAGGGTTAGAGAAAAAGAGGAAGACCCCCAATGAGATGGATTGGCACAGTAGTGGTAGCAGTGGGCTCAGCTGTAGCTACGATTGTGAGATTGGCCCAGGACTGGACAATGTTTCTTTTGCATAGGCGATGAGTCAGTAGTAACTTCATGACACCTAACAACAACAGCAACAACTCCTAGAGGAAACAATGGACTGGATTTTAAGAAAAATCCAAGGTAATAATTAATTGGTAAAGCATTGGGACATTTTACAAATATTGACAAACACTAGGTGTAAATTACCCAGGCCAAAACTTTATTGTATTTGTGTATGTGTGTACAGTGTGCTTTTTATTTACAATGCCTTTCAATGTCATTTTTTGTTGTTGGATACTATCAAATCAGCTGCAATAATAGTGAATTACCCTATGTACAAAAGAATGAAACAGATTTTAGCTATTAAATAATTCCTTGGGAATGTACATGGAGATAATAGTCATCAATAGGAAAGTAAAGGGGAAAATCCATCTCACTGTAATCTTTCTGAACTTTACAAACTTAAATGCATCTCAAAGAAAACCATAAATATAAAGAGGAAGGAGGGTGGTCTCCTGAAAATGATGAAAAAGGCACTAGATTAAAAGAGAGCAAGAGCTGCCTCTGATAATGGTGGTGGTGGTTATGTGCTGTGGAGTTGGAGCTGACTCATAGCAACCCTGTAGAGGGATTCTCAGGTGGTAATTCTTTACAGGAACGGAAAGCCTCGTCTTTCTCCCATGGAACCTCTGGTAGTTTCGAACTGCTGACCATGAGATTAGCACGACTCGTAACTACAATGCTACCAGAGATGTTGTTGTTGTTGATAAATGCCATCGAGTTGGTTCCAACCCATAGCGACCCTGTACAGGGTTTCCGAGGCTGTAAATCTTTACAGGAGCAGAAAGCCTCATCTTTCTCCCGAGGAACAGCTGGTAGTTTTGAACTGCTGACCGTGAG